TCAGTCTCTCGCTCTGAGTCGCTCTCTCTCTCTTTCTCTCTCAGTCTCCCTTTATCTCTAAATCAGTCTCTCTCTATCTAACTCAGAGTCTCTCTCTCTCTCTGCCTCTCAGTCTGTCTCTCTAACTCAGTCTCCCTCTCAGATTCTTTCTCTCTGTCTCTCCCACAAAACACAGTAACTACACTTAATATATTTTCTGTTACAGTCACTTTCATACTATCTCTCACTTTCCATCTGAGTCTCTCTCTCTCTCTGCCTCTCAGTCTCAGTCTCTCTCTCTGCCTCTCAGTCTCTCTCAGTCTCTCTCTGTCTAACTCAGTCTCCTTCTGATTCTTTCTCTCTGTCACTCCTACTGAACACAGTAACTACACTCTATAATATATTTTCTTTCACCGTCACTTTCATATTATCTCTCACTCTCCATCTGAGCGTCTCTCTCTCTCAGTCTCTCTTTCTCTAACTCATTCTCTTTATCTCTTTCTTTTTCTCCCAGTCTCTCTCAGTCTCTCTCTGTCTCACAAGAAGAAAGAACTACACTTTATAATATGTTCACACTCACCCTCTCTCTCAGTCTGTCTGTCGCTCTCCGTTTCTCTCCCAGTCTCTCACTCCATTTCTCTCTGAGCCTCTCTCCTCATCTCTAATTCTGTTTTGCTCTCTTAATCTCTCTCTGTCTCTCGCTCTGTCGCTCTCATTCTCTCTTTCTGACTCTGTCTCTCTCTTTGTCAGCCTCTTACACTCTCAGTCCCCGTCTGTCTGACAGTCACTCTCACATTTTCTCATTGTCTCTCCCACAAAACAGTCACTGCACCATATAATATATTTTTGTCTCAGTCTTTCTCAGTCTATCTCTCTCTGTGTCTCTCAGAAAACACAGAGTACTATACGTTATATTTCCTCTTACATTCTATCTCTCTCTTTCTCTCAGCCTCTCTCTCTCTCTCTCTTAATCTCTCTCAATCTCTTTGTTTTAGTTTCTCTCTCAGTCTTGTCCACAAAACAAACAGACTCTACACTTTATAGTACATTTCCTCCCTCAGTCTCTGTCTCACAGCCATTGTGTCTACCTCATCCTAATCCTTTCTTTCTCTTTGGCTTTCACTTTCTCTCCCTCTCACACAGTCTCTCTGCCTCTCGCTCTATCTTTCTCTCATGAAGACGCTCTCTCTCAGTCCCTCTCAATCTCTCTTTCTGACTCTCTCTCCATCTCTCTCTTTCTGTATCTGTCATTCTCTCTCTCAGTCACTCTCTCTCATTCTCACTCTCTCAGTCTCTGTCTCACCCCCAAAACATACTATCACTACAATACACAATATATTCTCTGTCACAGTCGTATTTCCCTCTCTCACACTCAATCTCGCTCTGTCTCTCGCTGTGTCTTTCTCTCATTCAGTCGCTATCTCAGTCTCTTTCAGAGTCTCTCTGAATCTCTCACTCTTTCCGTCCGTCCGTCTGTCTCTCTGTCTGTCTGTCACTCTTCCTGCCTGTCTGCCTGTCTGTCGGTGCGTGACTGTCTGTCTGTATGTCACTCTGATACTCTGTCTCTCTGTCTGTCGGTCTGTCTCTCACTCTGTCTCACTATCTCTCTCACTCTCTCTCTGTCTGTGTCTGTCTGTGTCTCTCTCTGTGTATCTGTCTCTCTCTTTCTATCTGTCTGTATCTCTCCCTCTTTTTGTCTGTTTCTCTGTCTATGTCTCTCTCTGTCTGTCTATCTCCCCCCACCCCCCATCATTCTCTCAGTCTCAGACTATCGCTCTGTCTTTCTCTCATTCGGTCTCCCCTTCAGTCTCTCCCACAGTCTCTTGCTATGTCTCTCCCAGAAAACACTTTCACTATATGTTATATATCCTCTCATAGTCTCTCTCTCTCTCTCTCTCTCTGTCTCTCATTGTGTCACTCTCTCAGTCTCTCTATCAGTCTCTTTCTCTTAGTCTCTCTGACAATCTTTCGATCTCAGTCTCTCACTTTCTCTGTCTCTATCTTACAGTGTCTCTCAGTCTCTTTCTTTCTCCGTCTCTCTTTCTATCTTTTACGCAAAACACACAGTCACCACAGGTTTTAATATATTTTCTCCACAGTCGCTCTCAGTCCCTTTCTCTGTTTATCCCAATTTTGTTCTCTCTCATAGTCCTTCTGTCTCAGTCTTTCTTTCTCTCTTCCGCTTTCTCTTTCTGCTTCAGTTTCTTTCTCAGTATCTACCTTTCTCTCCTATTCTCTCTCTACCAAGCTCTCACTCACATTATCTCTCTATCTGTCCATTGCTCTATTTTTCTCTCACTCAATCTCTCTCTCATTCTCTCTTTAAGTCTCTCGCTCTGTGTCTTTTGTTCTCCCTCTCTCACTGCTTCGCTGTTTATCTCTCAGTAGCTCTTTCTGCCTCTCTCTCTCTGCCTATCAGTCTATCGCTCTCTCATTTTCTATCTCTCTCTCTTTCAGTATCTCTCCCAGTCTGTCTCTCTCTCTTTCTCTCGCTCCCTGAGTCAGTGTCTCTTTCTCCAACTCTCAGTCTCGCTCTCCATCTGTCGCTGTCTTTCTCTCATTCAGCCTCTCGCTCAATCTCTCTCAGCATCTTTCACAGTCTCTCGTTGAATCTCTCCCACAAACACACAGTCACTACAAATTGTATTTCCTCTCACAGTCTCTACCCCTTTCTCTCAGTCTGTTTATTTCTTTGTCTCTCTATCAGTCTCTTTCTCTCTGTCTTCCTCTCAGTCTTTCTCTCCCAGTCTCTGTCCCACTGTCTTTCCCACAAAACACACAGTCACTACGGTTTGTAATATATTTTCTCCACAGTCACTCTCAGTTTCTCTCTCTCTATCTCTCCCAGGCTCTTTCTCTCTCTTGTAGTACTCTCTCAGTCTAACTCTCTTTTTCTGTCCTTCGCTTATCTTTCTCTCTCACAGTTTCTCTCTCTCTCAGTATCCGTTTTTATCTCAGTCTCTCTCTCACAGTGCCTTTCCCTCTGACTCAGTCTCTCTCTCGGTATATCGCTCTAAATTTCCGTCACACAGTCGCACTCTTATTATCTTTCTCTTTCTGTGTCTCTCACTCACTCTCTCTCAGTGCTTCTCGCCCCCCCCCCCCCCCCCCTCCCTGGGTGTCTCTTGCTGCCCACCTCCTCTCTCTGTCAGTCTATCTCTCTCAATCTCTCCCTCTCTCTCTCAGTCTCTTTCTCTCTTGCAGTTATTCTCTCTCTCAGTCTCTCGTGCTTTCAGAGAATGAGCGAGAGGGAAGCAAATGCAAAGTGACTGTGTGTTTTTCTTTGAGAGACAGAGAGAGAGAGAAGGAAACAGAGAGAGAGAGTGACTGAGTGACAAAGAGAGAGAATATGAGTGAGAAAAAAACTGCAAAAGAAATAGAAAATGAGACAGAGTTAGTGAAGAAAGGGAGACTCAGAGGGAGAATACATTATTAAGTGTATGGTAGGAGGCTTTTTCTCTCTCTCTTAGAGAGGAGGAGACAAAGAGACTGACAGAGAAAGAGAGAGTGGCAGACAGAGAGAGAGAAGCAAAGAGCCTGTGTGTGTGCGTGACAGAGCGAGAGAGACACACACACAGAGCGAATTTATTAAAAAGTGTAATGACTGTGTTTTGTGGGAAAGAGTGAGAGAAAGACTCAACGGAAGAAGAAGCGAGTGATTGAGATTGAGAGAGAGACTGAGAGTGAAAGCAAGAGACAGAAAGTGAGAATGAGAGAGAGCGAGAGAGAGACGAGGAGAAAGACTGACAGCGATAGGGAGAAAAAAGGCAGTGAGAGATATATATCCAGTGTATTTTGTGGGAGAGACAGAGAGAGAGAAAGAAGGATGGGGAGAGACTGAGCAAGAATATATATGTGTGTGTAGCGAATCTGTATTTTGTGGGAGAGACAGAGAAACACAACTGTTCATGGAGACAAAGTGAGCTGGTGTAAGAGACAGTATCAGATAACAATAATCATAATAGTAAGCCTTGCATTTGTTACAGCACCTTATCTGGTCAAGACGCCTTAACATTCTGGGCTGCTGGAGCTACAGAGAGTGGGATCTCCCCAGTGCCTGGTCCTGGGAGCAGCACAGTTTACGCTGGGTTATTCCAGCAGTACTGTAACCCTTAGGTAGTATGTGAGTGAGGTTAATGTCTTGACTTCTGCCATCACGGACTGTAATCTCCAGGTTCTGGGCAGTGGTTATCTCTCTATTCTCTCATTCTCCAAACACTGTGAGCCCCAGACCTCGGAAAGAGAATGTCTGTGGCCGGGAGGTCTCAGGAGCTGGAAATGGAGACTCTTCACCAGGGCCAGGGAGCCCACACCGGTCAAACTGATATCAGGCTGAGGGAGATTTGTTTGTGGTGAATTATATTGTATCAGTTTTATAATATTGTACTGGAGAGAGGGTGTGTCTGCCCCTGGATAAATGGGATGGCCAAGCCATCGGGAGATCCCTTTGCCCTGGAATGCAGCGCTGGGGGAGGTCCTGCCGCCGGTAGGTGAGGAAACAGGAATCCTCCGGCCTAATCACACGGTCCAGCAGAGTGAGCTCTAGGGTCCTGAGCTTGTGGGAAGCTCAGAACGTTGGAGGTTAGAAGGGTTTCTGTGTGTCAGAGACTCTGTGGTCAGGAGAACCATCTCCTGTATGAATAAACAGGAACCACTGAGTGACATCTCTGAGCATAAGCTCTGGTCTGTCTGACCTGGGATCAAGTTACAATTTGATCAATAAAGTGAGTATTCCAGTCCGGAGTTAGGAAACAATCCCAATAGCATCAGGAATCTGGCAATGTCACCCAAGGGCTCAGGGTGTGGAGCAGCCAAGTGTGCAGTGGAATGTCAGCCATTCACCTCCCAATTACCCAGGGCAGGACTGTTGTGTGTGACGGCCATCAAATTGTCACCCACTGTTCCCTCCTACTGTATGATACCATTCTTCCATTGATCAGCTGGTGTTTGATGACATTAAAGTCCTGGAGAATGGCTTTGAAATAAGAATAATATGAATAAGATTTACAAATAGAGTAAACTTACCACAATTCCTCACACTTGTGCAGAGCAGGAACCAGACGCTGGAGACCCTCCTCCTGAATGTAGCAGTTCTTCAGATTCAGTTGTTTCATTGTGTCACAAAGTCCAATGGCCTGAGACACCACAACACAGTCTATCGGTGTCAGTCTCAATGCTTTCTGTGGAGAGCTGTCACCAAATGCCAGTGTTCGTAGAGAGCCCAGTGTTTGCTGTGCCAGGGCTTGATTCTGAGACTCAAACAGGTAGTGTAGTGAGTTCAGCAACTTCCCTTTCCCAGTGACGGTGTCTGTGTCTTTAATCTGAGCTTTAAACTTCTCCTTCAGCCAATCGATCACCGCACAGGTTGTCTGATGGACAAATGGCCCCAGAAACTCCTCCAGCGGCTGAGCTGCCCGTGGGGAGGAGAGCCCCGCAACAAAGCGCAGAAATATCTCAAACCGGCCGTCCTCCTCCATGTCACTGCGGATCAAACACCGCATGGTGCGTTTGGATTGAGGAGACAGGAACTGAGCGAGTGCGGCTACAAACTCCTGGATGGTGAGGTGCGGGAATGTGTAGACCACACTGTGCTCTGAAGACTCTTTCTCCACAAGTTCCATGAGAAAGCCAGAGAGGAACTGGGAAGGCTGGAGGTTATATTTGATCAGATCTTCCTCATTAAAGACAATGTTTCTCTGGGAGACTCCAGTGAAGGCCATCTTACCAATCTTCAGCATCACATCACGGGGGCTTTCCACATTGATACTGTGATGTGTTAGAATATGGTAAATATAATAGGAGAAGAGTTGTGTGACTGTCTTGGGAACTCGCTGTTTGTTGCTGTGTTTCCGTGTAAAGAAGGGACCCAGTGACAGAGCGAGGATCCAGCAGTAGGACGGGTTGTAGCACATGGTGAACAGGAGCTCGTTCTCCTCCACGTGGCTGTAAACAGCTGCCGCCACCTCCTGATCCTCAAAGAACTTGTGAAAATATTCCTTTCTCTCTTCCCCCACAAATCCCAGGATTTCAGCCCAGACACTGACCTGAGCCTTTGACAGTAACTGTAACGCAGTGGGGCGGCTGGTCACCAGCACTGAGCATCCTGGCAGCAGCTTTTTCTGTATTAAACTGTACACAATGTCAGAAAGTTTACAGCAGAATTCAGGGTCTGTGCACCTGCGCTGAGGCTCTGTGTCTCTCCGACAGTCAGCGAAATCAATACTACCCCTGAATTCATCCAAACCATCAAATATAAAGAGCAATGTCTCTGGGTGTTTCCAAAGCTAATCTAGAACATCCCTGAGGTAAGGATACTGCTCCACGATCAGGCAGCTCAGTGTTGCTCTGTCATGAACTCTGTTTAGGTCTCGGAATTTAAAAATAAATACAAAGTGGAAGTGAGGATAGATTTTGCCTGTGGCCCAGTCATGGACAATCTTTTGCACCATAGTTGTTTTTCCAATCCCCGCCACTCCACTCACTACTGCGGAATTCCCTGTGAAAGTGCCTGATCCGCTTCTCTTGTAGAATTTTTTCATCCGGTAAAAGAAACTTCCTCTGGAGAAGCTGCTGTGGAACAGTTTATCAATTCGGATTTTTTCCAGCTCTCCCCGGAGTTGCTTCTGTCTCCACTCCTCGTGGTCTCTGCCTCTCGCCAGCAGCTCATGTTCTACCAGTTCCCGGTCACGTACATCAGAAATAATTGTCAGCTCCGTGGAGCGATCAACCAACTGAAACTGTTTCACCTTCTCCTTTATCAGGATAGTCTTCACTACCAGTATCTCACTTTGTTTTAGTAACATCTCCTTGTGCTTTCGCTGAGCATCTTCAATTAGAGAATCACATTGGGGTTAGAAGCACCAAGAATGTCTGCCTTTCGACAGCTTCTCAACAATGTGTGAGTTTCCTGTTAGGAAGTTGCTGTCAGTGTGTGGAGGCGCAGACACATAGATAGACTTCAGAAGAGCTTTTAATAAAGTGAAATTTACAGATTCTGGAACGGTGGAGTTGCGCAGAAGAAGGAGATTGGAGAAAGTCACAGATGTAGAAAAGAATAAGAAAGAATCAGGATATAAAGGGGAGACTGAGCATTCAAGCCAATCCGCCGTAGTTAGGATGAATGTGAATTTTGTTGTGGATGAAGATAATGGTCATGTGAATCTTAATGCATGTAGGGTTGGGAGCAGCTGGATTTGGATTAGTTGCAAACTTGTATGTGGTAAAGCTGGAGAGGGCGACCAGGAGGAGATCAATATAATCAACTGATGCCCCTCCCGTTTAACTGCCAGATTATTTGTAGTTCCTGTAAATCTCACAGAAAATGGCAAACATTCAAACTCTGCATTTCAGAAATGAATCCATTGGTTCCACCTTAAAACGGTCACATACCTTTAAGTGTGCTGGATACATCTGGTACACTTTGGTCAATAATCACCTGGTTTAATAGACTGGCACCTGTTGGTATCGAGGACATTCCATTAGTTATAGTGAATTAGTTATCTAGGTTGCCTCAGTAAAATATGTAATTGATTTGGGAATGGATTCAATGCAAATGTATATTGTACCTTGCTCCTGTATTTCAGTCATTATTTTGTTCAGTTTGGGCAAAGTGTACCTTATTTCAACAAAGGATTCCCACATCACTCTTTGGGCTCGCGAACCTTTCCCCAGCGCCATGTTCAGAAGAAGTTTAGAGCTTTGTCTCCTCCGCCCACTGTGTGTGAGCTCAGTCAGTTTCTGCAGAGTGAGCATTAAAAACAAAGGAGTGAAACGTGAGCAAAGCTTGTGATCAGGAAATGGCCAGTTCCATCATGGTGTTTTCATGTTGAGTGAGGTTCCACAGGCACAGTTGCCCTCTGTTACCCCAGCCAAATGATCATTGTTCACATGTGAGACTTGGCAGTGAGTTTACTGTCGAGACCATCACAGCCCATCTTGACCTCTCCTCATCCTCCTGTCACAAACAATAAGCTGGATGTTTAGCCACAGCACCATCGGGTCAGTGTCCAAAGCAACAAATGTAAAGCAGTGATGTATGGAAATGCTTAACATTTATTGCATCAACCCGCAGCCACCCAGCCCCCTTCCTCCATCCCAGTGTCACTATGAATCGCTCCCTCACTTCCCATGCTCAAGCACGCCTCTTTAACCATGCGCTCGTTCAGCTTTACCTCCTCCCCACCCTCTCCTATTCAAACCCAGCTCGGTTGGCCTGCCATCATTATGAAGCATCTTGAGATGTTTACCCAGTTGAAAGATGCCATAACAATGAAAACTGTAATGTGTTGCAACTTGTTGAATGGATACACTTTGCACAATAAACATACTGACATATATCACACAGGATTAGCTTATGGAAATCAGATAAGCACTTCCCATCTGACTACCTACTTGATATTCCGCTTGGCTGAAGTATTCCTTTCTTGTCAGTACTGAGCTGACGGTCTCCACATCTTCCTCGATGGCCTGTTCTATTCTGTCCCGGTAGAACTTAGTGAGTCTGAACAGCACGTATCCGTCGTACAGAGCGAGAGTCTCATAGAATGTGACCCTTGAACCTGTTGGCCACAAGACTGATAATAAAACTAAATTCATACCATATTGTACATTCACATGTTAAATACATTTCACGGTTGATCAGTATGTGTCAATGTGGCTCAGTGGCAGCGCACGCGACTCTCAGTCACAAGGTTGTGCATTGGAATCCCACATCAGGCTTCGAAATCATGTAGTCTAAGATAACGCTCCTACACATTGCTGGGGTGTGTGTGTGTTTGGTGGCGGGGCTCTGGGGTGGTGGGGGGGGGTGCATTGTTGGACATGTGGTCTTTAAGGACTCTGCTGTGCGCAAGGTGGCTGCTCATTTCGCCCACAGAATATGAAAGCAAATACACTTCACATTATATTCTCTCTGCATTGAAGTCTCTAGAAAGCAAAAAGATGCTAAATTAATTAGTTTATCAACGGTGGACAGCTTCATTGACTGTGCAAACGTGAGCGGATTTTCTCAACTTGCCTGTCTCACTTTCGTTTTGTTTGTGATCTGTCAGTGGTGGGTTAGGATTGGGAGCCTGGGCCATGGTGACTCGGGGTAATCAGAAGCTCTCCACAGATCACCTATAAAATGAAACAGATAGTTATGAGGTTCAATCTGATACAGCATTCTGAACATCAGTAACAACAGAGGTAAATGCTGTCCAATTTATCAGTGGACAATGATAAGAATAATAATCAATGCATTTTTTTATAGTGCCAATCATTTGGTTGAGGTCTCAAAGCGCTTTACAGAATATGCTGTGAAGTGAATTAAATATATTCTGTCGGCAAAACGTTGATGCCGATTCCACACAGTGGTGTCCCTCAAACAGTCATGGATTGCGTGTCCAATTTTTCGTTTTAAGGGATTATTATCTCTGGAATAGTGATTCGCCAATCGATTTACAACCGGTTTTCTACACACTACAACATCTATAGCTAACTGGGAGCATGAATGACCAACCAAAATAATTCCTGCGATGGTATCTCAGATTATTTTCTTAGTGGCATCAAATTTAAATTGATCCATTCGGTGACAGGGAGCCAGTTGAGTTAGGCGCGAACTTGTGTGATGAGGCTACTCAGATTTGAGTGTGTGAGTATGCGGGCGACAGAGATTGGGATCGGCTGCATCTTGGGGATAGTGGAGATGGAGAGACCAAAAAATAGGCCATTTGAATACTGGAGGAAGGAGGTCTCGAACGCATGGACTACTGTTTCATCTGGGATAATGTTCGTCAGAGGCGGGTAATATGATGGATGTGGAGGTAGACGGTCCTGGTCAGTGGCCATATGTGGGTTAGGTTGGACAGCTATGGGTCAATCCTGATACAAAAAAAAAATTTACTGTCCAATGTTAAACTTGCCCATTTTAGGCAGTGGCAATATCAAACTTCCCCTACAGAAACTGTTCAGTCTGTTACAGTGTGAGTGTGATTTTCTCTTCCACAATCTCGGGGCTTCACATCGATCATCAGAGTAGCACCAGTGTGACATTGCTTTCTCCCACTTCAACGTTCCCTTTGTTTCATTTCAGCCACATGCCCAATGCAGCATATTCTCTGTGCTCTGTGTCTGATCTCCTGTTCCTGCTCTTTGAACCTCATGTGTGTAACAGTCAGTGAAACGTTATCAACGCTAATATGCAATGTTGACCTTTATGGATATTTCCCGGTAATGCAACTGCTGGTTGCGCTCCGGACTTGCGACCAGGAAGTTCAAGTGAGTTGCGTTCAGCTGCTTAAAACTCAATAACAATGAGAGCCATCTTAAGAAAAATAATTTCCACTTATGGGGAAATTCAAAGAGAATTGTGACATTCAGTCAGAAAGATGAAGGTTGAGCATTACATCTTCTTTCCAATATGGTGAAAGCTAGTGAGCATCATTCAAATAGATCCAGCCTCTCCACACCATCTCCAGATTCACACTAGACTAAAAGCCTAAGATAGAGGAATGAATTATCGATAAGCTGAGGAGCTTCAGCCACAAAAAGCCGTATCAGAGAATACAAAGAACAATATATAGCGCCCTTCACGCAGGCAGCGTCTCGGAGAACATAAAGAGCAGGGCGATTGCTGAGCTGATTTTATTTTTGTCAGCCGAGTGTCTGAAACGCCCAAAAGCCCATCACCAAACCGAACAGTATCCAAACAAAGATAAGATTTCCATGCCTTCCACCTACATATGGGAAACCCAGAGATAGATCGTTGAAATGCAATGAATTCCCTCTCTCCGGAATGCTGCCCAGTGTTAGAGGAATGAGCTACGAGCGAGGATTAAACAAGCTCAGGAACAGGCCATTCGGCCCCGGTCACCTCGCTGGTGCGAATACTTCACACAAGCGCTCATCTCAGATCAACTATATTTCGGAATAGTCAAGTTCACAAATAGATTTTGGATTCCATTTCTCCTTTGTACAATGTCACGATGGTTAGTTAAAGTAATGAAACAAATTACATTTAGACTCTTTCTTGATTACTGGCTGTAGGTTTTTTTTTAATAGCAGCACACTTTCACTAACTGCAAAACCATAGTAGCGGGAATGGTGTTTGTTGCGGAATCCAGAGTGGTTGCAAAATATACCTGGATACCAATCTAAAAGGAGTGAACTATCTAAAAAGGGATTTGGGAAAACTGAATCAGATCTTCATGGGAATCTTCACTTATAATAATAAGGATTGCGATAAGAAGTGCCACCACAGCCACGATAAGCCGAATAACCCGCTTCTGTGCTGCGAATCTCGACGGTTCTTTGTTTGTGGTTGTGCTACAAGAGTTTGACTTCAGCATTTTGTTCGAAAACCTAAACCGGAAAGGAAGAGAAAAAGATATTGGAGACGCCCTTTCCATACATTGTGTTAAATATTGTGGATGTTCTTTCTCAATTTCTCTCTTTCTTCTCTCACTCGCTCCCTCTCCATTCTCCATCACTGGCTTTCACTTCTCCATCTCTCTCACCCACAGTCTCCCTCTCTCAGTTACTCTCTCTCACTCCCCCTTTCTCCCACATTCGCCAGCTCACCCTCTCACACCCTGTTGCCCCTATCACTCCCCCTCTTCACCCTCCTCTCTTTAACACACATTATCTCCTCCCGTACTCTCAATCGATCTCTTTCACTCTCTGTCTCTGCTTTCTCCCTCTCTCTCCCTCCCTGTCTCTTTTTGTTTCTCTCATACCACACTCTCTCTATCATTTCTCTGCACCCTGTCCTTGAACCACTCTGTCCCCCTCAGTCTGGCTCTCATTTCTTATTCACACTCTCATGCACATGCACTATCTTCTCTCAATTTCTCTCAATCACTTTCTCCCGGTCTCCACCCCTCTATCACACACTCCCTCACACTCTCAATCATTATCTGCTTTCTGCCTCTCGCTCCCTCCCTCACTCGCTCAATCTATTTCTTTGTGTCACACCCACACTCTCTCACACACACACTTCTCAGGCCTATCGCTCCCATAAACTCAATCACACTCTTTCACTCTCTGTCTCTGATTTCTCACTCACTGTTTCTGTTTATTTTCCTCATCCCTTCTCTCTCACCTTCACGCCAGTCCAACCTTCTCACTCATAAAAGCCAGTCCAACCCTTGTTTCTCCCACATCAGAGCCAGGCTAACCCTCGCTCTCTCTCTCGTCACAGCCAATCAAGCCAATTCTCTCCCGTTTCTGGCAGGCAGTCCTACCCTCTATCATTAATACCAATCTAACACTTGGTTTCTCATCACAGCCAATATAATCCTCCCTTATTCTCATTCTAATAGACTTGGATGGATATGACCAACAGTGTTGTTTAATAAACCAACGATTATCAACTTAGTCACACAAACTGTCCAGCGCCTTGGGACATCCTCCTAAAGTGAAAGGTGCTTTACACATGTAATTCTCTTGTTGTTGTAAAAGGCTAACCTTGAGATATTTAGGTAGGAGATATAGGGGGATGGAGGGTCAGAGAGCGGGTGATTAGAGGATAGAGACAGGAGGGGTAGAGTGGAGTTCGAGTGGGGAGAGTGTGAGAGAGGTTTAACGGGGGGGGGAGAGGAGAGAGAGCAGGAGGTGGAGAGAGAGAGTACATATGTGTGACACAGAGGTAAGAAAGTGGGAGTGAGATAGAGTAAGTGAGAGAGATTTAGAGAGTGTGGGAGAAAGGTGGAAGGAGGGAGAATCAGATTGAGAGAGGGTGATTGAGAGAGAGTTTGAGA